CAGCAGAGAGGTAGCAGAGGCAGAGCAGAAGAAATGTAGAGATTTATCCTTCAGAGTAAAACACATTTTGTGAGTTTGAGTTTCAGTTCACACCTCATAGGGTAACTGGGAATAGTAGACTCCTACCACAAGTGTTACGCGAAGCAAAGTGGGCATCTGAAATATTAAATATTCAAGTTTTTCAAGTGCCTTCTGTTTCCTGAGAAATGTACCAGTTCCTGAGAAACGTGCATTCAGGGCAGAATTAAGTAATCACAGTAGACATTGTGAATTATGCTATTCTAGACATCAGGAAAGTATCCTGGTCAGATCCAGGTTGGTGTGCCATGTTTCCCTAACAGGGTTAGCACAGGAGAGCGGAGGTTTCGATTTTGAAGACGTCTCATCCCTTGTGAAAAGTGTGAAATAATGGGAGTGTGAAGAGCAGCAACGGGCTGGTGAGGGATGGCGCAGCGTCTGCCTGCCTGGGCTCTGCATGTGTCTTCCCTCGCTTTTCCCCAGTCACCAGCTTTCCCATCCAAGTGCAATTACAGGCTAAAATGGAAAGCCACATTGTAATGGCATAATTCTCTCACTATTCTCAGTTTTCAGCATCAACACTTTTAAGAAAGAAAAAACCCATTTTCCATTTCTTTGAAGGTGATGGTGGCTTTTGAACTGAGAAACTTTGCCGTTACCACAAGCGCTACAACGTCTGTTCCCTGCTTGCTCTCAGAAAACCTTGAAAAAAAGTCCCCAGTTTGGCCTGTGGGTTTTTTAAAAACACTAATCCAGCACTCTAAAGTGTTTAATTATTAGGCCTGTGAAATACAACCGCACCTAAGGGGTTAATAGGAGGAGCTAATTATAGCCCACTCAGCGCAGGATTTACCCTTAACTTATAAAATCTCTTGTCGTTTATTTGTCCTTTAAATGATTTCTTGTAACACCTTGATCAGGGCAAATGGATGCTTCAGAAGGGAGAAAATGACCCCAAACTGGCACAGAAAGATTTGATTAAAACTTATACTCCTTCTGTGGCAGCCTGCAGATCCCGGGGGATCTGCCATTGCTCAGTGGAGTAGAGGAAAGAGCAGACAGGGGAAATGCTTTCTGTCTGAGACAAGAAGATTTTATTGCTAACGTGCTGACATGCACTCTCTGCAGGGCCATCCTATGATCAGTCTCTCTTGTTTCCTTTAAAACTCAGCGTCAGAAGTTTGGTTCCAGTGTGATTAATTTCCCCTTTACTGATTGTGTGTCATTCACTTTTAAGTTAGAATTTTATAAATGAGGCAAAACAAAGACAGAGATGGAGATTGTGCGGAGATAAACATTTGTGCTGCTGGGACTCCCACTGACTCGGGCACAGCGGGGGCCAGAAGTAATGGGGACTCGCAGGCACCGTGATTAGACCTCTCGCTGGGAACAGGTAATTGAAACACTACAGCCCATCACCAGCACTTACAAAACAGCAAGCCATGAAGGTACTTAGTTTAAAGCAGGCCCTGAACAAACCAGAGGCTTCACACACTCCCTCTGCCATTATGTACCAGCAAAGCGTATCTAATATATACTGGTGTTGGCACAGCCAGCACTCCTCTGACACCCGCCCTGGCCTCGTCCCCTGGTCAACGGCTCTTTCTGTGTGGTTCTGTGGGCGATGCAAGAGCTGTCTGCCTGGCTTTGGGGGTGCACTGGAAGGAACACAGCAAATTGCCCTGACTAAAGGTCCTGTCCCTCAGCCCAGGTTTGCTGCAAGGCACCGGGGAGATGAGGTGTGTGTCAGTTAGGGGCTTCATGTCAACCTTTATGTAAATATTCTAAAGCTCCCGCCGTGACTGGGAGTCTGGTGGTTCACTGTCAGCCTCAGCGCACACAGGGTAAAAGCAGTTCTGAGGCCAAAATATGACAGGATATCACATAATATTCAGTGTGTTGTGAGGTACAAGTAAACACACTGCCGGCAGACACTCACCTCTCTGTCTATCTGCTGATGGAGACCCCATCCTCACAGGGTTACCGCCATTTACTGACTAGCTCCCTGCAATAGTGTCTTTAACAGCTGGTTGATGCAAATGTGTGATGTCGGTGAGAAATGCTCTGATTTGTGCCTCATTTTCACTCCTTAGTAATCACTGTGTCTCATGAAAGCCTCTAAATAAACCTTTTTGATTGTAGTAGTAGTGGAGGTACACCATCAGCCTGGGCCCCCTTCTGCCAAGCTCCACTAAAAGGTCACTGGCATCTCAAGCAGATGTTTCTAGTTTTTAAAACAATGGGAGATTGATAAACTAATTTAGGTTTTCTTCACTCTTATTTGAGAAGAAATGTCAACTCAAAACTTATACACAGATGGAGAAAGAAGTAATTGTCATATGGAGCTGACAACGCCTTCTGGATCCTCTGTTGAGTTTTGCTGTTGGCCAGACACCCCCGGTGGGTGCATGACAGATTACCTGTCCGTAATTTTGGCAGCAGGGATCATAAGAGCTTTCAGCAGTTTGAGTGGATATTTGGGTGTTTGTAGCATGCTTTGTCGTTGCTATCATCCCTATTCAAAGGAACATAGTGACATTTAACATATTAGAACAATCATTCAAATGAACTGAACACCTCATTACACCCTTACATGGCCTTACATACAGATACCGTGTTAGATAAAAAGATCAACAAACTATGTAATTATTAACAGGAGTTCAAGTGTCACATCACCAAACTTGTGATAGCAAATGCTTAGTGAGAAAAATGAGGAATATATTTTGTCCAGGTAATTGCATAAATGACAAGGCTTGACCGGAATTATGAATGATACTGCAATGATTATAGTGCCAAAAGGGGATTCTGAAAATCTAGATCCATTCTGTAAGTCTCTTTTTTTACTGTGAGAGCTGATTTATAATTTCTGTGCATCAATCCCTTATCTGTAAAACCAAGGTTTTAACTATTTGTTACTTCCAAGTAACTTCCATTTGCTCCAAGACTGTATACACTAAAGATATTGTCCCGTTTTGATATGACCATAGCAAAGTGCAAATTCCTCAGGTCTGGCCAAAAAGAACGACGTAAAAAGCTGCTGCAAAGGTCAACATTACTGGTGAAAGAGAAAACATACAGAGAGCACAATGGCTAAGTGCCACTCCTTAATGTGCTGCAAGCTCTGTGTGACTGTGGCTAACCAAGGAGCTCTTTCAGCCTTAATTTCTGCTGTTTAAGTGTAAACACCACATATTTACCTCACAACAATGCTGGGAAGCTGTCTCAGCTTAGTGTGTAAACCCTCTAAATCCTTGAAGACAATGAAATAATGCTTGTTACCACCTGCAGGAGCACATTTTATATGACTGTAAGAACCTCCAGTGAACATTCTCATTTGCTATACAATAGCTTCTCATTAAAACTGTTCTTTTTTTTTTTTTTCCATGCAAGAAAGAGACAACTTTTTCTGGCGTTAGCAAATGTGGGTCTGATCACATCTCATGTTCTGGTGTTTGTAAGCATGGCGTGCTACCGACCAAACACTAGTTTACACAAACAGTAAACACACAGAATACTTTCATTGTTATTTTTAATCTTGCAAAATTTTCAGAAGAAATAGCAAAAGGCAGTACAATTCAAATCCTAACCAATATGGTTACAGTTTGCAATTAAAAAAAGTCACCTTGGTTATTAGCAGTGCTGCTGAATCACTGTCCTGATTCAAAGTCTGCCTCTGGAATTACAAGTTAAGGACAGTTTATCAGAGTAGTGATTTCTTGTATAAACAGATCCTGCTGCTGGCATTTAGGAAAACTTAGCTGCCTGCCACTCAGACAAAGTCTTTTACCACACTTGAGTGAAATTTCCAACCTTGATCATTAGTTAATATCATCTGAGCAAAAGCATCATTTATTGTTTAAGTAAACTAAACAGAAGAACAGTGCCTTAGATACAGACTTGGTGCTTGCTTAGGCAAAGAATTTTTCTTCTAGCACAGAATCATAATAGAACAGAAGTAAAATTTTTGACTAATTCCATCTCTTATTGCCTGTATAACTTACCCAACAGCAGCATACGATCTTCTGAGCCATTCTTTCCTCATTCATGTATTCTAACACTGACAGCCATCATGCTGTAACTGAGCAGAGGTCAGCTACACACAGTCAGACATGTACAAACAACAAAATTTAAAAGTAACACATCCGTGGCTTCCATATAGGGAAATTTGATACCATCCTTTCTGTATCATTTTATCTGTTTTATCAGTGGTGCTTGAGGAAACCCATGAATTTCGGTCACTTGTAGCTAATTTAGAGAAGGTAGTTATTTGAATGAAAGCAATATCCATAACTTAGCCTCTCTCAACAATTTCTTAGCAGTTTTACAATGGTGTAATAATACTAACAGCCACCAGATGCCAGCACAAGCAAAGAGGCACTAAATAAGCGCCTGTTTTCTGCTAACAGGCAAGTAGGGTGCAGACCTCGGGTCATTGTGCGGTTACAGCCACGAGAGAAGTGCACCTTCTCTCAGATGTTTCAGTGTCATATAGGAATAAAAGATCTGATCATCAAGTCAAATCCACATGGCACTGTACTAAAGTTAATCTTGGATTTAAAGAGACCACTTACTGGAGAAAGAACTATTGCTGGCCTAGCTGGTAATTGCCCTCTCTGTTCAAAACTGGCTTATTTCTATATGGATCTTGGGCTGGAATTTCTAGCCTGGTAGATCTGGTTTGGTTTTTGTTTTGTTTTGTTTTGTTTTTTTATTCACATACTAAATTGAGGATCTTTAATATCAGATCTTCTATTTGTGTAAGACTGCACAGACTACACCAAAATCACTCCATCATCTCTTCAGAGTAGAGTGGACCTTCCAGCCACATCACGTTCTTGGCTGCAGGCATGCACACAGTGCGGGCAGAAGAACAAGAGACAGGTGCAACGCTTTCTAGCACAGATGGTTCTTTTTTTCTGAATTTGTCAGTGCTTCTGCCAGAAGCCTTTGCAACACCATGAAATAGTCACAGCCTTCTGAAATTAATTGAGTGATGGAAATCGCTTCTGACAGATTTCTTCCAGAGCAGAAAACTTTGGTCCCAGAGTGTTCAAGAAATCAGCTGGCAAGTCCTCGCTGCCCACGGAGACAGAGCAGGAGGAGGTACTTCGCTCTAGTTCTCCTTCTTCAGCATACCGGTAAGGTTCATAGATGGCCCCATAATCTTCCAGTGTGCTTTGGTAATACAGTTTCTAAAGAAGGGAAGAAACAATGCAAATAATCATGGAAGCTCCTGTTGCCCTTTCGGAAATTAAAGGAATTCATGGTATGCAAATAGGGCAGGTAAGCCAGGAGGTTACAGGGAAGAGTGTGATTCTTTCTTTGACAAGGAAAAGTTTTACTGAAGCTCTGAGCTGCATAAACACCAAAGCCTGAACTTCCCTTAGAGTACAAATGTGACAGAAAGGAGCATTTGATCTGTCCTGGACCAGCAGCTATCAAGTAAACACGACTGCGTGGAGGCATGCTGTTTGGCCCAGGGAGGGCAGCCCTGGGAACCTGCAGTGGCCAGGAGGAGCTAGGGTTTCCCTGCTAGCACAGAATTGAGAGAGCAGGCAGCCAAACTTCAACCTTGCACAATAACAAAAAGCGTTTGAGCCCCACCTCCAAGAGTTTGTTACAGGTGACAGACCCCAGCCTTGAAGTAATTCTTGGGTGAGCAGCCAGAGGCAGCAAGAAGTCTAGGAGACAAGACATTTTCCACAAGAAAGTCTCTTCAATGTTTCCCCATCAAATACATCCCTTGCTTTTCATTGTAATGCTTCTTAAATGTGGGCTGAGAGAGTAGCTGAAGCCATAGCAGCTTTCCAGTGTTGCAAGTCTTTTTCCTATTCTTGCAAGCCAACTTGACAAAGGAGGGATCCAACACTCATTTCTTACCTGGCCCAGTATTTCGTCCACTGTCTGCATGATGTAATCCAGGTGTCTCTCTTGGAACACCCTGTAACTAGCATGCATGTCATCCTGGAAGACAGACATAGTATCTCAGGTTTGACCAGTGTAAAGTCACCTACTAACATTTCTTTCAGATACAAAGAAATCCATCTATCTTTCTCTCCGTTACATCAATTTCTCTTGTACTGTTTTTTCCAGTTACATTGCAGATTTTCTGTTCAGGAACTGTTTCTTCTTCTTATGAGTACATACTCCATGTGTACATGGAGTCACCAACTGCAGGCATTCCTCATAATTTCCAGTAACTAAATACGTTTCTTCCTCTAAATGTGTTGGATTCCTTTTCATTAACGGCACCAATCACGACCTCAGAACTTTATAATGGCTACTCACACAGGTAATCCTAGCTCCTAAATATGGTCCTAACGATTGTGGAATTGGGTTCTCAGGTACATAAAAAGGCTATTTTACATTTTCTTTGCCTGCTGTAAGAGATTGTTCTTAGAGTCTCTTGGTGTTCACTACGTACAGAACACACGGCAGCCACCTACTGACGTAAACCAGAATTTCCATCAGGCATTCTTTACAATAAAAATAGACATCTGTTAGAGAATATGCTACAAAAATCCAGAGAACAAACTCAAAAGCCTTCAAACCCCTGGAAGTACACCTTATCAGTTATAACAATACTCATAAATCCTGTCCACACTTTTACCATATGCTAAGTAGACAATGTTGACCAGCATGTTTTCGATAGATATCTGAAGAATGATGGTTCCATTTCACTTATACCAAGAACTGAATAAAATCTCATGCATATTAATTCGGGTAATGTGATAAGAATTTTGGAAGAAATTACACGTCCAAGTATTTAGAATAATAACTAATGAAAAGAAGTGCCAATCTCCAACTGAAATCTGTTGGAAAAAAATTAGTTGTCAACAGTATTTTAAATAGCAGTTGAATCTCCAACAAGCGGCATCTATTTTCTAATTGTATTATTGTATTATTCTTCCCACTGTTACTAATACCAAACGTCATTCTTGGGATTACCAACTTCTGTGGTACAAAAAAGGGCATTTACGTAAGGAAATGGGCATTTACCTCAGCAACCACTTCTTCTCCAGCCTCCCCAGACACAGGCGGTAGAGCAGCATGACCTGTGATATCCAGCTTAGCCTGCATACAGGGAGAGTGATGGTATTCATAAGAAACTGAACTAGGCTGTGAAGGATCACACTTTTTTGCAGACTATTCCCTTTTTTTCACTTTCATTTGCTTCCTTGTTGAAAACACTAGTACGTGCCGGATGAGAAGAGATCATGTGCCTCCTCATCTGTTGGTCTGATCAGTAGGACGAGGAACCTCATCAGCCAAGGTCCCGCTGATACTGAAAAATGCTAGGAGTCCATGCAGAACACCACTCCCCAGATATGCTTAGTGCCATAAAAAGCTTTATTTTGCTGCATACCAAAACCAGAGGAAACATCATAACAGAGATGACTAGCGCCAGATTCAGCCACACAGCACTGCCGGGGTAGTGTGAATTTTTGCACTTACTTGAGATAAGGACATTCTGCTCTCTTCATTGTAGTTAATTAAAGTCTGTTCACCATCTTGAGGTAGAACAATGGCTTTGCTTTTAGATCTCCACACATAAAACTGGCAAAGTAGAATACTGGAAACTGTTGAAACAAGAAAAGGAATGGTGAAATGGACACTGTGAACAGACCTGTATGGCTCAATACCGTGGGTTGCTGAGGTACCCAGCCTAGTTCCAAATGAGCTAACTCAGAAACCTCCAGCAGTGTAGCTGTGCAGATGCAATGCTTGGCCTGGAGCGGTCAGCCTGCTTTAGGAAGTCAAGCTGTTATCTCCACAGAGCACTGCATCGAGCAGGCAGACATACTAGATCACTCACAGGTAGCCAGAGGAATAGTGGTCAGATAATCTATTAATGTTTGCTTCAGATAAAGAATCAGTAGTTGATCCCTTCAGCAGTAACCAACATGAGCTGCTACAGAGGAAGCTCCTCTATAACAAGCCCTTACTGAGTACATAACCCTATGGGAGAACTTCACTACTTCCAGTTAGCCACTACATGGCTAATGCCAAAAAGTCAAGTATTCAATTTTATTCAATGCAAACAAGAATATTTACTTTGTTGTACTGGAGTTCAGATTAATGACTCATTTATATTTGCCAGTCATCTTCTAGCCACAATATAATCATGGTAGGAGGTTACTTATCCAGTAGTAACAAGCAAGCCATCAGTATTATTGCAATGGCACCACCTCCAAGTCTCACTGCTGCTTGTGGAAGTGGAGAATCTTTACACGTATGTCCATCTGGGCAAGAGCAGAGCCTCACATGCTGATTCTGCCTTGTAGAAAATCCTTGCCTGTCCTGAATAATGACGGGCACCAAGCAGTTACCTTGTGGGAGGCTTCTTAACATTAAAAGTTCAACTGACTCCCCTAAAAAGCAGACAAGCAAATTATTTCAAGACTCAGTTTCATTGAGACTCATCAGTAAGGTACCATAAAGGTAAGAGACAGAGAAATAACTAGAGGGCACGTAAGTGCAATAAACTTCTCATGAAGGACATGAAAGGAAGAACTCACCGAAGTTCCTTCCTAATTTCCAGTTATGCTTCACATCTTCAGAGTCCTCAGCCAGCTCAAATGTAAATGGCCCAGAATGTGCATGGACCAGAGCAGACTTAGCTTTTATAATGAGAGGCGTCCCTTCTTTTTTGTCACACACAGCTAAAGAAGAAGCCACTAATGTTGGCATATGATCATTAACGTCCGACAAGTAAAGCAGGATGGTGCCAGTACCGGTCTGTTGTGGAATACCTAGACAGGAGCAAACGACACAGAAAAGCACTCATAACTGGGTACGGACAAAAGCCAGTCCATGGCAGGATCTCTGTCTAGCTTATCCTACTAGTCTCCCATAGCACAAGTTTTAAACAGTAGAGTGTTCTGCATTACCATTCTCCACTAAGATCCTGAGTCTTGCTATCTTCTTATATCTAAAAACGGGCCAAATACTGCTTGAATATTTTCTGACTGGCTGCTCACCATGATCCATAGCATGAACGATGATGGTGTACAGGCTCTTGTTCACATAAGGAGATTCTTGATCAAATTCTTTTGCCACAGTAAGAACTCCAGAATTCTCATCCACACTCAGCCAACCATCTGGGTCATGGGCTAGTTCATATCTTAAAAAGAAAGGAAAAAGTTATAAGTGGGGTATTTTCTTGAATGGATTTTAAAGAATAGAAAATTTCTACTGCATCTTTCTTTGTCCTTTTGAGCTCTGTGGGTATTTTTACTTGTTAGTAATGCTTCATCTTGTTAACTCTATGACAAGCTGTGTCTTTCAACACAGCCAACAAACAGTTCCCCATACAAGTCCCCGTACCTTGTACAGGCCCATCAAAACTGTTCCTAGGAGGTAAAAAAGTGTCTAATTTCCACATCAGATTACTATTCTTACAGCCAAGCATACCATCTGTATCTTACAGAACCAGCTATGTGGATCTGCAGTATCATCAAGAGTAAACCTGCACCTCTAACGTATATATTCATGTAACTGTAAATAGGTATAAGTATACTCATACATGTGGATATACCAAATTAAACTTGAAAACATCGTTATATTCCTAACCTGTTTCTTATTCTGAGAGTTAGAAGCATCTCCACTTACTTTATCTTATTTGGCACACCATCTGGATATGTGGCAGGATACCTTCTAAATACTCTCCCAGGCTTCATTGAATCTTCTTTTTGGACAATAAGTATAGGAGGGTGAAAACTAGGAGCATGTTGTGACTGCAAGACCTTGATGTTCACAGTTGTATTCGTGGATCCTGGGCTTGAGATCATCACAATGCCGTTTTTACACAAGAAGAAAGGTTCTTCATTTGCTACAGAAATGACAAGTCTCATCTCAGAGTCATCTTCATAGTCAAGAGGCTGAAAACCCCAGACAAAATCTGATTAGCAGTTATGAGCTTTGGCTTGGCTGTCATCTGTATATGCCTGGAACTCAGAGTTGAGCTGAGCTCACCAAACCCAGCTAAGATGCTAAGCTATTGCCATGCTGTAGCCCATCTGTTACTGCTCCTTACCTTGATAATACTCAAAATGCCTTCATTTGTGTCTGGGTCCGTCTCAATGGTGAACTGTTCCTTATCATTGCCTTGTGTTACTCTGTATTTTGCTCTCCAAGCTGGAGTGTCGCGAGAGTCGTTATCTTCCACTTGGAGCCGTAATACAGCTGGATGGTCTTGACCTGCTGAAACCTGCAGCTGGTACTGGGAGTGGAAAGAAAAGAAATAATGTCTATGTCTATTCCCCAGATGAAGAAGCTTGTTAGCCAGTTCTGAGCCAGAGTCCCACCACCAGACCATGTGGAGCTACTTTCTGCACACACTGTGGTTCATGTGTCCCCACTCAGTGACAGAGCACCCCTGTGGGAGTACAGAATTAATCTTCCTCCAACACATTCACACCGACTTCATAAAGAACTTATTACTAAACCTGACCTTCATCTAAAATCAGGAGACTGCTCGTCTCTCCTAGTACTGGCTACAGCAATAGGCCCATAAATGCCTCTGGGGCTTTTCATCCAAGCTTGTCTTCTGCCGTGTAGAAGAGACTGGTGTGTACAGGCTAAGGCCAGAACCAGCCTGCAGATGTCACACACCCAACCTTGTAGAAAGCAAGTATGTGAGAGATTTTAGGTAATTTCCTCACAATGTTTAAAGTTTCTGATGGTGCCCTGTAGCCACCAGCTTGCCTAACTAGCAAGCACTCCTACTGTATTTAGGCAGGTTCAGCAAAGTAATGATGTTTTTCCTTACATTATCTCTAGTAAATACAGGGAGGTGGTTGTTTGCATCTTCAACAGCTACATTCACTGTTGCAGTAGATGACAGCTGGGGAGTTCCATGGTCACTGACTTTAATGAGAAGTTTGAAAGAGCTGGCAGTCTGAAAAACAGAAGAAAGGAAGTTCCAAACTTAGTTCAGAAGCACTTTCTGCATTTTGCCAGTGGCAGCTACAAAGCTGGATGTGAGAGTCTCCCTCCCCCTATACCTGGTTAACATGTACTTAACATGTATCACACATAATGCATCATTAAATGATAAGAAGCTGCCATATCTCCATCACCTTATAATCCAGGCATTCTGACAGACATATCGATCCTGAGGTAGGATCAATACTAAATGTGAATCCATCTGGAAGGGGTACTTGCATACTCAGAGAATAGGACATCCGAGAATTTGCAGTACCATCTTCATCTTTGTCCAAGGCAGTAACTTGGAAAACTGGCTTATCTAGGATGAAAAATTAAGTGTTTAGTCTTGCCATGGAGTTTCTCAGGCCTGTCTGCAGACTCTTGGACACACAAGTCCTAAGAACACCTGTAACTCCTCCTGCAGCTATGGTTATCCACGCAAAGACTCTGGCCTCCAGCTCCTTTGGGTGGCAAATCTGCCTAAAGTGCTGTTAGACAATAGAGAGAGTTATCACACTCCTGAATTTACTTCATCAAAAACATTCACTCATTATTTATGCCAGCTCTCAGCCAGCTTCTGAGGAGTTGGCACCATGCCCACATGTCTACACAACCCAGATTAAGCTTTGTGTTCATAAAACAGTGTGTCTGACCATCCTCTGTGAAGCTGTGTGCATGTGCAGGTTCCAGATCCACGCTTCAGATGAGTCTGCTAAAGTCTTGGCGTGTAATTAAGAAGAAATCTCTTAGGAGTTTTTCCAGAATGTCTCCAATGTTATGCTAATGTATACTGAGGTTAATCAGACAAGAAGTCAAGAGGTAGGAAATAGTCCCTAAACCCAAGAGTGTTTAAGTAAAACCTAGGGAGAAGAACAGATTCAGTAAGAAAGGAAAAAGAAAGACAAAGGAACTAAAAAGAGAGCAGTCATACAGAAACCAGTAGTGTCCCTTGGTTGGATGGCACTTACCTTTACTGTGGTTCTCTCTTATCGTAACGCTATATTCCTCCTTGGGAAACTCAGGTGCATTGTCATTAATATCTTTAACTTTTATCTTGAAAAATAAAGGGTGGTCCAGTGGTTTACCAGTTTTTCTGTCCACAATATTGAAATGTATCTAAATGAGCAGCGACAGAGACAACAGAATGGAATGAATGGTATCAATTAGATATCAGAATGGAACAAGGTAACTTTCAGTTTTGAAGCTGCTTGTCATATTTGGCTAGCATTTGACTTTGAGTTGCATCACTAAGTCATTATTTCACCTTTCAAAGGTAGGAGATTCATAATGGTCAACGTCTGCTTTAAAAAAATACTTTAAAAAAATAAAACCTGTACCTGTAGCTGGATTTGAGTTATTTGAAATGACTGCCTAATATAAAATACATAAATATCCTTGGGGCCAGACAAAAGAACGCTTTCACATGTGCTTCCCAATTCTGAAGTATTTATCTGAGTAGTTTTCTCTAGCTGCATTTCTGTGATGTTTCAGCTCCATACCCATGAATGTGCAGGGGATTCAATTCTGAATGCTGACTTCTACTTTCCTACGCTTATTTCTGCTAGAGTCTTCTTTCCCCTGAGTATGCCCACAGCTTCCCAGAGAAAGGACCTACATACCCCCACACCACACAATTCCACACAACTCTAAGTAAGACAACTTTGAACAAATAAGGTGTGTTGGTTTTTTGTGGGTTTTTTTTTAATGTGCTGTTTGAGGCACAATTCTTGCCCTCTCCTACCTTTGGTATTTTATTGTACAATCTGTGGTGATGAATACCTTCCTGAGGTTCAAGAAGAACTGTTACTAAAAGGTTGTTTGTACCTGTCCAGCATATTTTGGGAATGGTCCTTTGTCCTCCTCTTGAATATCAATGGTGGTGATAACCCAGGTCCTTTTTGTACACCGTAGAGGAGGTAGGCTGTCTAACTGATAAGAATCCACCCACTATTGGATAAAGAAGTGTATTTAGGGCAATAGTTTACATATTAACGGTTGTGTATCTGTTCTTGTACTATATGGACTACAAACCTGAATACTCTCCTTTCGGATGGCTTGTCTTAAACTGAAATTTTCAGTTTCATGAGAAAAACTGTTGGCAGCAGTAACCTTGTGAAAAAAAAAAAAAAAAGAAAAGGTGATAGTGAGGAGTGTGGTTAACTAGAAACTATTGATACGTTGTCTAGGAGGAATTTGGTTTCCCGGTAACGTATTGATCCAGTTTTGACAGCATTGTATTAAATCATATCCACTCCTGGAATCTCCACAAATATAATCCATCTCATTCCAAATGAATTGGCATGAGTGCTTGGATACTGATATCTTCTTTCACTTCTGCTCATCTTGGAAGATTTAATCATGTATTTTATGGCTTCCACACTCCTTCATGCACACCAGTTGCACAGCAGTGGCTCAGGCCATTGCTGTGTCAGCTCCAGACATTGTCACTGCTAGAAAGGAGCAACTCAGTTCACACCACAGACCCCACAGAAACACTGGTGGAAATACCACTGCATACTGCGGGGGCTCCTTCATCCAGCAGAGCCAACACTGGGCACCGGTGCCCTCCACCAGGCACCAGGTACCCGTTATCCCGACAGAGGGGCCCAGGGCCCCTCCTGCAGACCCCCCTCCCAGGAGACCCGCATACACCAACCTGCAGGAGCAGCAGCACCAGGAGCCATGCCATGGGCACGTGCAGCGGGAGTGTGGAGCACCGGGAGGTCCCAGTCGGCCCCAGCAGCTGCTGGTTCCAGGGGACTGGGGTGGTTCCTTGGAAGGTGATCCGATGGTTTATTGCCGCTGGAGTTGTTCTCACTGAGCAGTTACTTGTGGTTTCACAGGCATGTGAGATGTCCCGGAGAACAAGTGAATATTTCTGCCTCGTCAGACAAAATTTTAAAAAAAATTAACTGTTGATTCTGTAAAAGTGGCATGACTCAAAGCAAAGATCCGCACTTTTATGACTGTGATACAGCTGGAGTAAAACATGTGCCTTTCCTTGGCAGTTCCTTGGAAATGCCATTTCCTAATAACTCCACAGTTGTTTGCAAAATGCAAACATGCAACTTCATATTAATGGGAGCTCTTTTTATCTGCCATGCCCAAGAGTGCTAATTTTATATTACTTCAGACTTTGAACCAAGAACAAGTTCTGTAGAAGCTCACTTGAAACCTGATACAAACACCGCTAGATTGTCCTGTCCAACCCAAAGCCATCAGGCAACAATGAACCTGATACCTGAAACTGAACTTCCCACCTAGTTTGGGAATAATATCTTTTAAATAAAACAACGTAAGGAAGCAGGAAATGAAAAATCAGGCCTTGTAAAACCATGTGAAAAGAAGACTGAGCAGCAGAGAGGATGGGGAAGGTCCTGGCTTCTATGAAAACTTTCACAGCATCTTCCCTTCTCCTGTATTGGTTTTACTGGGCACAAGGAGGTTTCTTCTTTTCTAGAACTGGAAAATAATGAATTTAGTGTTCTGGAAGTTGTGAAAGGAAGACTTAGGGAAGAACTGATGTTCTTTCTGTTCAGGGAAGAAAAGCAATAGATCGTGTCAAATAGGCCACAATGTTTTAAGTAAAAGTGGGTGTGGGGAGGAAAGCAGGCAGATGGTCTTCTGAGATTCACTATTAACAGGCTCAAATAGCAGCACAGCATAGGATGGTTTAGACATCAGAAAAACCACAAATAGCAAGAATGTTCTGATTGTAAAATTATTGTGTGATATCTTACTGAACAATTTTACAATGCTTAATATAAAGATTACAAAAATAGCAAAGCAAGGGGATTTTCAGCGATAGGAAATGCCCTTTTTCCCCTTTGAAAATCCCTCCCTTCATTTTCCTCTTGATTAGTCTGAGCTGAACATATGAACATGCAGTGTGTGAAATTAAGATAAGCATCCTTATCCATGTATACTGGCAACACGAGAATGTGGTTCTCTGCAAGCATCTACCCATGTCTCTGCTGTTCTTGGGATCATGTTCTAAGTGTCCTGGAGATTACCAGGAAGAATGTAAAACTGATGAATTAGTGCTTTTTTTTTTTTTTTTTAATCTATGAATATGAAGGATAAGTTTTTCCTTTTATGTTCACCTATTATGATGCCTTAACACAGCCACTACAGGAGTGACTGCCACGGGGAGCAGAAATAATCCTCCAGCTTTAACTACCTGCCTTGGCCACAAGCAGCAACACAGCTGAGACATGCTGAGCTACAACCTGTATCCCACACTGCAGTCAAGAAATTTTCTGAAAGAAAAATTCAGAAGTGCCATCTTGTGGATGATGAAAAAAATACAACCAAGTAACAAATAGGCAGTATTGCACTTTTAATATAGTAAATATACAGTAACTTTGAATTACAAGATCACTCTCCAATGAAATTACCAGCAAAAACATCCACAAATAGTTCAAATAAATAAGAACACATGACTACCAACATCAAAAGCTGGGCTGCAAATTCTCTGTTAATTGAGTTCCAGTCTTTCCAGATAGAGTGGTCTGTTTATTTTTCAGAAGAAAACCTACTAATGCCAATGGGAGCAACAAAGGCTCAATACCTTTAAAATAAGGCAAAAAATAGTACGAGAGGCAATTTCATACTGCAGAAATTTCAATACGAGCTCAAAAAAGGTATCACACAGTGACTGAAAAACTGCCAAAATACTCTCAAACTTCTAACAAGATCTTTCAAATAACAGATACAAGAGAAAACCTCAAACAACAATAAATGAAACACAGAAAGGGCACAAGGAATAATGAGATTACAGCATAATAAAGCAGCCTGGAGTCAAACAAGACAGTTTAGTCCAATGAAACAAGCCTAACCATCCCCTGCAGCATTAGACCCCTCTGCCATCCTCCTGGGCACATGGAGCCCCTCCTCCCAGAAGAGCACTCATTGCTTACACAATGATAACTCCTCTTTGGAGAATAAAGGAGTACCTGCAGAAGCTTGACTGTGTAGTGCTAACAGAATGAGGAACTGGAGGCATGGTGCAGAAACTTCAGAACCGCTGTATATAACTGAAAGCTAACCCAAGGTGTGGGGAGCCCAGGGGATGTAAAACTTTAGCTGACCACTGTATTTCACTGCAGAGGTGCAAGTAATGGAGAAAAAAGAAACATATCAGGAGAATAAAAATATTGTTTTAATATTCTTCATGTTATGCATTAAAAATACAGTATAGCATTACTAAGGAAAACAGTTTATACATATTGGAGTAAAATTCTCTTTCTTTACGTCTTCGTAACAGGGTAGTTTAATTGAAAATAACAGTTCTTCAAAGTTTATAGTAGTGTAACTGAAGTAGAATCTGGCTATTTATTTAAAATGAAACCTGAGAGTATTTGTTTTGTAGGTAATACTGCAGAACATGAAACCTTTAAATTATCTAGAAAAAAATAATCACTGTTTAAATATCTCACATCACAGTAAACTTGTTCTTCAAGAAGCATCGTCAATGCTAGGCTTAGACACACATTCGATCTGATTGCTAAACACAGGGAAAAAAATATAAACAGCCACAAAAACACTGCGCTGTGGAAGTATTTTAATTCCAAACTGAACCTATTTGATCGAATAAACTTTTCTGCTCTGTTCAGAAGTGCTGCTAAAGACAATATCCACCAATACAAAATGAAGGAAACACAAACCATGGTCCTCTTCATAAAAGGAGTTATTTTTATCTATAGACCCAGAACATAGTCAAGTTAAAATGGAAACAAAAGTGCTGCAGGATAAAATCCAACCCGTGCAGGTCTGCTCAGGCTAAGAACTGTTTGTTGAGGCAAACACAGAATTTCTACTTCTGTATGTGAACAAAGAAGACTGTGCAAGAAATACCAAATCAACAAACAAAAATTAGACTTGTGTGATTATCTTGCGAGACAAACTCCCTTGGCCAGATCACAGCCAGAGCTTAATGATGAACAAGTATTCAGACTTACTTTAAGTGGCATCACCATCTCTACCTGCTTAACTTTAGTCTCCAACATCAGATTCATGTCCATCAGATCACAAGCACTAGATTAAAACAAAACTTTCCTAGGTTTGTGAGAAGAAACTTTTCTCAGTGCCGATCACCTTTGCTCTGGTCAAAGCTGACTGAAACATTATTTATTTATTCTTTAAGAAGTGCTCACGCAAAATGTGTCTGTATCCACATGCCCTTCTTGTAATCTAGGAAAGCATAAATATAGAGTAACATTTCAGAGGAAAATTTAGCATATGCTAATATTCAGTGCTATAATAACATGCTAAATTAACTACTGCATCTAACAGAATTTGTTTGAAAAAACTGCTGTTCTGATTATTGCCTTGATCCTGCTCACCTTGCTTTTGGTGTTTACAGCAGTGCACTAAAGCAGCGTACTAACATCGTGCACTGAAGTAGTGCTTGTTGGCAAGAGCAGTCCTACTAACCTTCACTGCTGTTAATGTGAATCAGGAAAATGTGACTGAAGAAGGCTTGTATAATTTGGCCAGAGCTTGAAATTCTAGCACTGGATGCAAGAATCCTTCATCTACAAAAAGCTGAAATACATGATGAGTCTGGAACAAAACAAAAGGATGAAATAGCAACAGAAGAACACGCTGGTCCTCTGCAGTTGCTGGTGCTGAATGCCATCCTCTAAGTTTCACCTCATCTCTGACACAGACAATTTCTTTGATCTTTGAGCACGTCAGATGAAGTTTCACTTTAATTGCATAGAGCTGAATGTACATGCAACTACAATTCATTTTAACTGTAACCTCACAAATACTGAATATGGAAATACAATACCGTATAGTACACTTGTTTCCTTTATTGATTTAAAATTTCACATTTGGTCTCCAGTAGACTAGGAAAAAAACCACTAAAAATATTTCTTTGACTATTCCTGAGCAATGTTTTTATGTACTGCAAAATACTCTAGTTTATTACTACATTTATTAATATTATCACATTTTAAACTGCATATAAATCCATGCTTTGAAATTTTACAAAGCTGAAGATCTGGTAGGCACAATGAAAGAACAGAAACAGCTAAGCATCTTAAAACCAAGATGAGATCAACAAGAGAAATGGAACTTGACTATATACATAATGTACTCTTACTATTTGCTACTTTTTAATTTTCTGTCACAATGTGAAGGATCCGCCTATAAAATCTGGTCCATCAGACCTCAACTCATTTCTCATAAACAGTTCACTGACTGGTGGCTGAGGATGAAGTTAATGCTGCTCGATATTTAATTTTAAAATGAAAGTACAAAACATCTTCCGAATTTCATCTTTAACAAGATCGTATCCACAGCTGCCGTGATTGATTTGAAATTGTAACAGATGAACTGACACTTGAGTACTCACTGAACTTCATATTCTCCTGTATCTCTCCGACACAAGAGAAAACAGAGGGTTCGAGGCCAGGACCCAGTCCTGGCTGTGCAATTTCTTTCTGCAGGGTACTTCCCTTGTCACTTCACTAAACCTTGAAACAAGAAGCCAAGCTAACTGAAGTGGACTGGACCATAGAATAAATAATTGCCATCTTGCATGACTGAAAATAGGTATCTTTTGTATCAAAATATATATTTACTTGAACTTACAACAGCCTTTAAATTCATCCCTAAGAGTCTATTTTTTATGTTTTGAGAGGCTACCAGTTTTGCAAATTAGGCTACAGAGTCTCTAGA